TCATCATATACTAGATAGATTTCTCTCTCGTAAAAATTAAAGTGATTAAAATCAACAGCTCAAAATGTATGTTTATTGCTACAGACATAGCCTGCTTTGCCGACAGAACGAATGTGATAATGGATTTGTATACAAGATTGTTAATTAAATCATACCAGTAGAATGTGGAATTTTGCTGAAATTTTAATGTTTGGGCAACGTTGAAAAGATATGCTGCCAAAAATGTTTTCTTTGGCTTATATTTCCCTTAAAAAAAGATTTATATTACTTAATTCATGCCCTATTGGTTAAAAGGTTAAAAAAAAGTAACTATCTTCCATGCTATTCACCCACTGATTTCATATGAGGGTAATAACAATATATATCTATACATACATGTGTATGTATATATATTCCTTCTGTCCCTCCAGATAGCAAATCATGAAATGACTATGTTCGGTCCTAAAAAGCAAAATATTGCTGATGAAGGATTGCTCCAAATTTTTTGTATATTCAGGTATAAGCCTCTCGCATGAAGCTTGTTTATGTACTCCATGGCTCAATTCTGGGGAATTTCTATGTTACACGATTAATAATGGGCACAACTCTCACTTTGCCTTTTGCATAACTGCTTCTGCATGTAACCATCATACGTAATGTTCCAAGTATACAAAATAAAGAAGAGTCCTACTCTTGTTAACAGGAGTTTCATCCTAGTAAATATATTCTTGCTGAAAGTAGAATTAAAACTTGTGGAGTAGTGGCCTAGATTTTGCAAGTACAAGCTCATTTAATTGAATGGTTTCTGAGACAACTGAAATCCTTCACTGGTCAAAGTTCATTTGAAAAAGGAATACAAGATTAGAGTGGTATTTAGTTATAAAAGTACATGCTTTATAATGAGGTAGTGCATATAATTAGATTCCTGCTATAATTCCCATATGTCAAAATCTTTACATGGCAAAAATGCAAAACTAGAATAAAGTGTGAATGTCATTTAATCGTTTTAGCAAAAGATGGCAGATCTAAGGCTTTGTGTTTTATGTCCCTTAATGCTGAATGTATTTGTTGCCTAAGACTCTAAAACAGGATATGTTGGTCATGTTTTGTAATATATGCATTATCATTACAAGGAAATATTTTGTTATTAGATTTTTTTTTTAAATCATTTATTTCAAGATATTGGGAAACTTTAAAAAAAAATCAAATGGTGGTGTATTTCAGAAGTAAGGCTATTATGTAGAGCAGTGTTTCTCAACCTTGGCTTTTAAGATGTAAACGCTGCTAAGGTTGAGAAACACTGATCTAGAGAGGTAAGCGGAGCAAAGCTGCTCAAGTTTCAGAAGCTGTTGAGCATAAAAAGAGGTTCACTGGATTTTATTTCAAATAATCTGAACTAAATGTGCAGTCTGGAAACACAAATAGTGACAAGCAGCCAAATTACAAGCATGTTTAATCAAAATGTGCTGCTGAATTCAGTGGGGCTTAGTAATTCCCAAGGGAGTATGCTTAAGAATGCAGCTATGCAATTGGATCTGCTACATCAGGGGTCCCCAATCCCCACACTACACGGATTGGTACCGGGTCCATGGCCTGTTAGGAACTGGGTCACACAGCTGGAGGTGAACAGAGGGCGAGCGAGCAAAACCGAAACCAGTTCCTGGTGCCAAAAAGGCTGGGGACTGCTGTGCTACATGTTTACACATAGGTAAATCCCCACAAATTCAGTGGGACTCACACTGGAGTAATTGTCCATAGGATTCCACTTTGTATCTGTAAATGAAGATGGGCGTACGTATATCTAGTTAAGAGGTATTCCGCACTAAGATATGTGAGGGGGAATCTTAAAGTGTTTGATGAAGGATATAGTTTGACTCACTTTCTAGTTGTGTTGGAGAAATGCTCTGTTAATAAAAGTTGCATAGGATCAAGGTGTGCGTCCCTTTGATTTCAACTGAATTTAGCTGTGACTAATCTTTGCTAGACTGTCTCTGAAATGTAAATCGGTATCAATGGCACCAGCAGTAACTTCAGTTTTAATAATGTTTAAAAAATGAAATTGGAAAGTATTATGCTAAATAAGAAAAAAAAAACTTGAGCTCTCTTGTTGAGTACTATTTCTTGTATTTGTGTGTGTGGTATGTGTGTTTAATAAAACTGAGGTGCGTATTTATTTTTTATCATTTAACTTAGACTTCGATTTTTTTCTCCTTTAAACAATCTACTATATTAAGAAAATCTAATGGTGGAAAAAAGAAAAGGCAGACACATTTTTACCATTTACCATTGTATTTAGTTTATAATAAATGGAAGAAAAGCACTTCACTATTTCACAATACTTACAGGAAAAAGAAACTATTTCATTATTTGGGGAGAGAAATACATTTTCAGACAAGGGAACATTTACCAGCAGTACTTGAAAAGTGTGAGTTATGACTGCATGTTACTTGAAAGATCATACTAAGCTACTCTTTGGTGCACAGCAGTTGTATATGATTTCTTGTTTATGTAGCAAGATGCATTGAAATTGTATTGAAACATACATGTAAGAATTGTTATTGTGGAGATGGTTTGTTCTGTTTTTTATTCTTCTTGTGTATGTCCTATCTGTTTAAACCTTAAATGTTTCTTTATCCTGCCTTCTGAAAGGCAGGATAAAGTTGCTGTCATTGCAAAATGTATTTTAATTTTTTGTCATCGCTTTTTCCAAAAACAAAATTACAAACTGTATCATTCCTGATAATACAGAACATTGTGGATGGTTTCAAATAAATTTTATACTTCTATTTTGCGTGTGGTTTTTAATTTTTCCTTCATTTAAGTTCACTTCTTTCCACTAGAGGACTATATCTAAAAGCATGTTCATATCAGTGAAACAAATGAAATCTAGCAATAGCAATACATTCTCTTTGATTTCATTATTACTGTTCTTTGAATCTTGTTCTAAGAGAAGTGATCTAGAGGAATTAAATGGTACAAGTGGTTATCTCTTATGATTTCTCTGGTTCAGCTCTCTGTTTAAAGAATAGGCCAGCTAGGTTTGGTCAGTTGGGAACACTGGTACTAAGGATCTTACTTCGAACAGTCACTAAACAAACTTGTAAGTCGAGGACTACCTATACTGGTGTTTTGTACTCAAGACAACAGAGCTTTTACGGAACTATTAAAGCAGTCTATCATTTTTATGCCTCTAAGGATGGAAAATGAGAAGCAAAGTAAATGCTGTAAAAGATGCAACCCGCTGAAAAATGCAATATCCCTACTTTTTTCAGAAAACCAAAGAAGACAAGTACAGTAAACAGTGAATGTGAGTGAAAATGTCAGCATTTCTTCTTCAGCCAACTTTATAACAAAAATGCATTTGTTGCAACCCTCAGAAAGTGATTTTTAATCAGGTATGAACCTTGGATTAACCCAATGGAAAGTAGCCTTTCTTCAGCTTATTGACTTGTCAGTGACAAGGTCTCTTAATGTTTTGAGATCCATGGGTGTTTTGAAATTAAGAACTCTGCCATCAGTGAGCATCACAAAATGGTTGCAAGGGGAATGAAAAGTCAGCATCCTAAAATACTGCAGAAAAGACAAAACAGTAAAAGTTGGACATAAGTAAAAAAAACCATTAATGTTTGATTGATCCCAGTAAACACCATCTAGTTAAAGTTACATTGATGGTACTTCATGTGATGCACGTGAATAATGCACAGCAACATGAACGGGTGGAAAGCAGTCCCTGCAATTTTTTTGAAATATAAGCAATGATGAATGTGAACTTTACACTGAAATGATTAATATGCATAATGAGGATGTCCTTGAAAAATTTATAAAAATTGCAGTTTCAGTACAAAAGCACTATGGAACTACACAGCATATCTTGTAAGAATTTAATACAATACTAGTCAAATAGTTTGGGATGAGAGTGTTTGAAAGAACATTTTCCCAGGTGCACTTCTGAAATAGGAGATAGCAGGAGAGATATTGCAGTCACTATTCTTCAGGACTTCTTTATTTCCCAATTTTTGGGTTTTCTGTTATTTAAATGTTTCTTAATTATTTTAATTATCTTTAATGAAATGTTAAGATTTTCTTGGTTGCTTTTTTCCTGTAAACTTGCTACTTGGAATTATTAATGCAGTTTTAGAACTTTTATGAACATGACAGATTAATGATATCTGATAACGGATTACTCAACTGAGCATTGTTTGTTTACTCAAAGACTGACAGCAACATTTTAATATTGGTTCTAATAATGAATGCATCTGTGTTTAGAATAGTAGTTAATATTTATTTAATGAGAATAACCACTGTCACCTAGCCAAATAATCATATGTATTCAACGTTTCACTTTCTTGGGTTCTGTTTATTTGCTCCATCTTGCATCACAGTTGCACTTCAGAGTTAAAATTATATATGTTAAAACCATGCAATATCTTAAAAGGAAACACAAAAAAGCAACAGCAACATAAAATAAATATTAGCATAAAAATACCGTGGAAGGGATTAAAAAGTCAGAGGAGCATGGATTTTCACTGGAGGATTCTTAGAGCATTGTTTTCAACCTGGGCAATTTTAAAATGTGTGGACTTCAACTCCCAGAATTCCCTAGCCAGCATGAATTCTGGGAGTTGAAGTCCACAAGTTGCCCAGGCTGAAAAACACTGCCTTAAACGGAGCTGAAACAACTTAAGTTCTTGGACGTGTTAAACGGCCGGTGAGCAGTTGCGCAAAAAGTATCATTTTTTTCCTCTGCCCGGAAGTAAAATACACACTTATCACTTGTCTCAATAACAAGATGGTGGCAAAACATAGGCCACGCAACCTCATCAACAGCTTTCGCGAAATTAACAAAATGCTTCCTTCGACGCATGCGCCAGCGCCGCTCCGTTCTTTGTTTTGGAGACCGTAACCCAGCCTTCCGGAGCACGTGCGGGAGGGGAGAAAGGCGGCCTGGCTTTGCAAACGTCACTCTTGTGCGCGACGGCGAGCTCGCCCAACTCCCCTCGCCCCGCGCGCGTTCTCTCTGCGCCTGCGCCGTGGCTCTTCGGCCTGAGGGTGCTGCTGAAGGAGTTTGAAATGGCTTCTCCGAGTACGTCTTCGGCCCTTTTCAGGTAAAGAGCCGGGAGGAGAGCGGGGAGAGCGATTTTATTTGGGCGGGAGACGGGAGGGCCGGGCGGGTGCTTTCGGGAAGAGGGGAGGCCTTCGTGTTCCCTCAGAGCAGGCTTGGGCGAAGAGCGCGGGAGGAGCTCTCCTGAGGCGGCAGGCCTCAGTCCCGCATTGTGGACGGGCCGGATGGAGGCGGCGGGCCCGGGGTTCTTCCCCCCCCCTCTCCGCTAAGGACGCTCCCCTGAGCAAGGCCGGAGGCAGATCTGACCCAGGCCCTTCGGAGGCCTCCCTTTGCCCTTCGTAGTCCTTCCGCGGAATCTTTGCGGGCCGGGGCGATGCACCAGCAGGAGAGTTCTTCTTTGTTAACTCTCTCACAGTCATTCCCATCCCACAAATTCACAGCTGAGTGCCTTTTCTTTGTGTGGGTTGATTCCCCCCCATGTTTTTACTCAAAGGGAAATTGGGACTGAGTGAATCAGGCGCGCTCTATATCAGTGTTTCTCAACCTGGACCATTTTAAGGCATGTGGACTTCAACTCCCAGAATTCCACAGCCAGCATTGCTGGCTGTGGAATTCTGGGAGTTGAAGTCCACGTGCCTTAAAATGGTCCAGGTTGAGAAACACTGCTCTATATATACTGCGCGGACCAGCACAGCCTCGCTTCGTTTTCAATGAGCGTGAGAACCTTCCAGTTCTGATTCTGAATTTTTGAACCCCTGTTTTTGTTTTTTTTATTATTTCTCTCCTATTTTGTAGGACTGTCGGGCAGTGGATGTTGTGTTTCACGTATAAACGGGTGGTGATGATAATGCGCTTTCCTTAAAGCAGGGTTTCTCAACCTTGACCATTTTAAGGCATGTGGACTTCAACTCCCAGAATTCCACAGCCAGCAGTGCTGGCTGTGGAGTTCTGGGAGTTGAAGTCCACATGCCTTAAAATGGTCAAGGTTGAGAAACCCTGCCTTAAAGTCAGCTGCTTTCTTGGTTTATTTTTTCTTTAAGCTCAACTTTCTTTTGTTTAGAACAGGGGTTCCCAACCAGGGGAGCGAGACGATATTCCAGGGGGTGCGAAAACTTGGCTTTTCAAAATTATAGCGTATGTGCATAATTCGTTGCTGTTGTTTTGAACTTTTGTAAGGGGTTCAAGAATATATCAGAAGCGTTGTAGGGGTGCGGGGTATAGAAAAGGTTGGGAACCACTGGTTTAGAAACTTCTTTAAGTCATTTGTCTACGCTAGCATCTCTTAAGTCAGTGGTTCTCAACCTGTGGGTCGGGACCCCATTTGGGGTCGATCGACCAATTCACGGGGGTCGCCAAGCAAGGCTGTCCGCCATTTTTTTCCCCTTTTCTGGCGGGTGCCTTACTTCCCTTGGGCTGGGCCAGCTGGTGGTCGGCCTGCTCCGTCTCTGCCGCTTGCCAGCTATGCCTCGGCCGGCGCAGGGGGCGGAACCACGCATGCGCGGCGCTCCCGGGCAGGGAAAGTCCTCAACTTACGACCGGTTTAGTCCTCGACTTATGACCAGTTTAGTCCTCGACTTACGACCGGTTTAGTCCTCGACTTACGACCGGTTGGGGTCGCGGCATTAAAAAGGTTGAGAACCACTGTCTTAAGTGCATCTGGATGACATGATTGGTAATTGCCACACCATTATTATTGTCGATGATACTGGGGGGGATTTATATGGGATACTTATTTGCTTAATGACTGAGCTAATTTCCTAGATTTGCATGACATAGCAAATCACCAAGTGACCACTGGGGCTTCGTATACATGGTTACATATGTTTGACTACTTTGTTGTCGCTGGATCATACCGGAGATGCATTTTCTTACTAGAAGAACAACTTACAAGTGTTCTTGATGATTCACTGATGGTTGAAAGTTCACTTGATGGTTATACTCTACCCGTTACTGATAAGATTTTGTGCATTTGTGTTATAAGTAGAACTAAATGTGAGAAACAAAGTTTATTTGTATTTTTCACTGGAAATATTTATGATCGGCTTCCTATGACATCTGGTTTGTCATACTTGTCATGGTTTCTCTTATTAGAGCAAACATAGTTGTCTCAAAAGTAATTTTTTCCCCCAAAAAAGCAACTGGACTGTTTTTATCCTTGAGGAAGAAGAAGAAAATGGGTTTTGATGGGGGGGGGGGAATGGAAGGATAGGTATGGAGTGATCCAGTACCTATCCTTCCATTTCTACCACCACCACCATCTGAACTGATGAAGCTACAGTCCGTTTGCCTTTTGAAGAAAAAAGCACCTTTGAGACAACTATGGATGAATCAGAATCTCCACAGACATAGGACAAACCTAGTTTTAATCTGTAAGGCTCTTCATATACTGGCCAGATTATTTGTAAGACCACCTGTCTCCAATTGTCTCAGCTTGTTCCAAGAGAATCCAGCAAGAGGGCATACTTCAAGTCCCTTCTCCCCTGGCAGAATCCAGGGGACAGACCTTCTCTATTACAGCAGCTGCCCATGGAACGTCATCCGTCCCCTCAAGGGTTCACATGGCCCCTATCCTCTCAGCACTCTGTACAGTAAAATCCGCAATACTTGGTGCTTCCCCTGTCATTAGCCACCACGCAAGATGAAACTGTCTAGAATAAAATATTTTTGAATAGACTGTACAATGGCTGGCCTTGACGGTTATGTTTCCTTTTATTTTGTTCTGTTTCTCTTTTGCTTTCCTGCTTCTGTACAATTGGAAGATGTCCAGAGTCGCTTTACAACTTGGGCAGCCATATAAATCAAATCAATGTAAATGCATATGTACGTCACATATAGATAGCTAATTTGTCCACTAGTCAGGAATTAGCTGCATGTTAAAATACTAATGGTCAGTGCTTTTTTTTTTTTTAAAGAAACTAAACTGGCAGAAGAATTGTACCTCTCATAATGGCACAGTTCGGAGGACAGAAGAATCCCCCATGGGCTACTCAGTTTACAGCGACAGCAGTTTCTCAACCAGGTTAGTTTGCACTTTCTTAAACAATAACTGCTGCTTCTGACTCCTTTCTGACTGAGTAAATGGAAATAAAAGAAACGAAAAATATTTTTAAGTGAATTGAAAATAATGCAGATGTTAATTTTGAATAGGAAATAAGTTGCACTGATGAATGTCTGACATTTGTGAAGAAGCAGTTGTAAGCTTTTATATCAATATTTACTTATGATTCTGTTTTTTTTCTTGATTTTCTCTGATCAGGAAATCTCTGAAATAGACATGCTATTTCTTAATTATTTTTTCCCATTTTATTTTCACAATCCCCCTCTTCTGTTCTATTTTATTATATAACAAAAATGTGCTTAAATATCCCTTAAAATACCTCTATTTTCTGCTTCCTATCTATTTTAGATAGTGATATTCAGTTATACAATTGAATCTTGTCAAATATATAACAGCACAAACATAACATTCAATATTATCTTATAGATGAACTGCTTAAAACCTGAAGGCTGTATTCACAAGCTAAACTCATTGAATTGTGGTTTGTTTTAACAATGATTTATTTAAGCAAGCCATGATAGCTTAGTTCCAGCCAATAGTCTTTCGGAAGAAGAGAGTGAACAGGAACAGGATTTTTATCTGGTGCTGCATCAATTTGTAAAGCTGTTCAGATGCATTTAAGGAATGCTGCTTGACTTTATGGCTAAGACTGTTTTTTTTCTGCCTGAGTGTGATATATCTTAACTTGTAAGTATATGTTCTATGTCAGGGGTCTTCAAACTTGGCCCTTTTATGACTTGTGGACTTCAATCCCAGAATTCCTCAGCCAGCATGCCTGGCTGTGGAATTCTGGGAGTTGAAGTCCACAAGTCATAAAAGGGCCAAATTTGAAAACCCGTGTTTTATGTGGTGGTGATTTATAACTGCAGTTGATCAGCTGATCAAACATCCATTTTGCTCAGGCAAAAGCTTAGCTCTGACCAGCAGTCTTGAATGTTTACATGCCCAAAGCTGATAGTCTTATCTGAAGAGAGGGCCATTTAAAGTTTTTGTATAGAGTGTCACGGTTATGACTATTTGCTTATTAGATATAAATTATGGAGTTATATATTATGCAAAAGCTCTTGACTCTCAGACAGCATACATATTTCCTTGAAAACAAGGTGGCCAAGTTGGAGATGTTTAGCAGATATTGATTGACTTTCAGAATGATATCACCTTTGTTGTTAGGGAGAGTGAAGAATTCAGGGAAGAACATAATTTTGAAGAGAGCAGATGTTTCTGTAGGACACCGTTTTTGTATCATGAACCTATATCCTCTCGTGCTTGCAGAGTTTGTGGGTAATTTGATAATTAGAGAATTGTGTTTGCTTTAGGCATGTTTGCTTTACCATCATGACAAACAATCTAGGTGGGGGGAGGGGGGACAGGTAATGAGTTTTGTATTTGGGGTCTTTGTATGCTGCCCAGAGTCACTGTGAATTGGGCGGCCTTATAAAATTCCTTAATAAATGGAAAAATAAATAATCAGGATAATTCTCAGGAGAGGGTAATAGCTGTACTTCACATTGGCAGTAATGACATTGAAAAGTGTGGTTGACAGTCCTAGAAATTAAATTTGGGGGGCTAGATAGCAGATTGAAATCCTGAGTTGTGAACGTGGTTCCAGAAATGTAACCTATTCCGCATGCAAGGGTAGCTAGACAAGTGAAGCTTAAGTTTCTCAAGGTATGGATGTAATAATTTATATTTGTTTTGCACTGGAGAACTTTGGGGTGGAGGGGGCAAGCCAAATTTGTACAAAAGAGACTAATCCAATTTGAACTGAAATGAAACCAGGTTGCTGACACATAGCATGAGAAAGGTGATAGATCAGCTTCATTGTAGGGTTGCACATGATTGAAAATACTGAAATAGGGCCATTGTTCGAAATGGGTTAATGGAGGGATATGATAGAAAATGCAGGGGCTATTTTGCATCCTTGTGGCCCAGTGATCACTGGTTGAGCAAGCCAGTAAAAGATACTTTGTTATATCTTATCACCAAACACTTTGGGTCCTTATTTAAATAGACATTTTCCCACAATCAATCTAAAGTCAAAGCATCTATTTTTTTTCCTGCAAAAGGCATGGCCTGCACGTGACACATCCGGCCCGTGGGCCGCCAGTTTGGCATCCCTGACTTAGTGTTTTAAATAATCAGGAATTCATGAACACAACATGTGATTTGCACAAGCATGAATAACTTTAAAGGGGTTTAATAAAAGCAGGGAGACCTAATCTATCAAGAGTTATTCATTTATTTCCTTATCTTTATTTTTGTTTGTGTGTGTGTGTACCATTTCACACACAATGGTTTACACTTCCATGTTTTATTTAGCTAATACAAAAAAAATACCAAAAACTTCAATACATTTTAGATTACATATTTTTCAACAAGAAATAAGAGTGTGGTGGAGAGGAGCATGGTGGGTCACGAGAATAGGACCCTGGGCTGACAATTAGCAGGCTTGTCTTCGAGACCCAGTTGCTGCCGCAGGATTGGTTGAGCTCCCATCACATGTTCCAGCTCCTGCCAACCCAGCATTTCTAAAGTGGGTGACCACGAGTAGATAGATGGGTACCACTTTGGTGGCCAACTTAACGGAGACATGAAAGGAGCCACAACTGCATGCCCTCTGGGCAACGGTGATGTCACCATTCAATCCTTTCAATCTAGAAGTACTTCGTTGCTCCTGACACAAATATGGTAGTAGTAACTGGAAATAATATTTCAGAAATGACTTTATTGAATTTATAGAGAAAAAATCTGAATAAATTGTTATTACAGGTGCAGTGAAATTAAAGCTTTATTTAACTATGTTTCAACAGTGTTCCATTTGGGAAGGAAGTTATTACATGCATTATTTTCAGTGACATTATAAGTTCAATATTTTCAGCTATTTGTTTTCTTTTGAAGCTTATCTTACTTGTTATTGTTCATTCTTGGAAAAATAAACGTGTGGCTTCAAATAATCAGCAGTTTGCGGAATTCATCAGATTAGCTATGGACAATTGTGATAAGTTATGGCTTCCATCCATTGAAATATTTACTGTACAACTTTGTGTATGTATGTCTTTGTGTGTGTGTGTGTGTGTGTGTATTTGTGTATGCAAACCAAAAGACCCAGTAACTCCAGAAGAAAAAACAGGAGTCATCTACAACATACAAAGTAAGAATTGCAACAATCACTATGTGGGACAAACAGGCAGAAGACTGGCAGAACGCACCATGAACACCAACTGGTAGTCAAAAGGCATGATGAAAATTCTTTAATTTCACAACATATAGACAGATTTAACCATAGTTTCAATTGGGAAAATGTGACAATCCTAGACCAGGCCAAATCCAAAACTGCCAGGGAATTTCTAGAAGCCTGGCACTCTGACAAATCAGCCATCAATAGACACATAGACATTAACAACATCTATAGATGTTGCATACAAAAGAGACAATCAACTAGCCCAAAAGAGAAAAAGACTCCAGCACCTCCCCACCAATAATCAGCATTCAGATCAGCATAGATTAACTCCAAGGTCAACTTCAAAATTATATATACATAATTTTATATGTTCTTTTTCTTTGGGGGATTTTTGAATTTAGTTAACTTTTTACTTACTTTAGAAGATTGTTACTTCTCTATTTCAATCAGCATACCTCCAAATACTACAAACAGTTCTCATTTAGCCGCTCTTACTTTGTGATCATTCACCATTACAACAGTGATGAAGAAGTAACTTTGTGATCAGTCCTCTCATTTACAAGCTTTGTAGGTTTGAAAAGCAAGGGAAAGCTGAACTCAGAGTGTAAGCACAGTTGTGTTTTTTCTTTGCGATTGTTTCACTTAATGACCAAATTGTGGTTGCTAAATGAGGAGTACCTACAGTTGTAGGAAAATATCAGCAGGAGAAGCATATGTCATGAGAGAGACCTTGGAGTCCTAGTGGACGATCACTTGACTATGAGCCAGCAGTGTGCAGTAGCAACCAAAAAAGCTCATACAATCCTAGGTTGTATAAACAGAGGCATAGCATCAAGATCACACGAAGTACTAGTACCACAATATAAAACCCTAGTAAGACCATCCCTGGAATACTGCAGCCAATTTTGGTCACCATATCACAAAAAAGATGTTGAGAGTTTGGGAAAAATTCAGAGAAGAGCAACTAAGATGATCAAAGGCCTGGAGACTAGAACATATGAAGAACGACTGCGTGACTTGGGTTTGGCTAGTCTAAAGAAAAGAAGAAACGATAGCAATGTTCCAGTATCTGAGGGGCTGCCACAAGGAAGACGGGGTCACATTATTCACCAGAGCACCAGAGGGCAGGATGAGAAACAATGGTTGGAAACTGATTAAAGAGAGAAGCAACCTGGAATTAAGGAGAACTTCCTGACAGTGAGGACAATTAACCAATGGAACCAATGGAACAGGTTGCCTCCAGAAATCGTGGGCGCTCCATCACTGGTGATTTTTAAGAAGAGACGAGACAGTCACCTATCTGAGATAGTATAGGTTCTCCTGCTTGAGCAGGGGGCTGGACTAGAAAACCTTCAAGGTTCCTTCCAGCTCCTGTTCTGTTCTAGTCTAGTCTAGTCTAGTCTATTCATTTCCTGCTTACAAGCACCTATTGTAAAGTATAGTTTTGGCCACTGTTAAATACAGAATTTTGGAATGAAGTAAGCCTTGATCTAATCCAGCAAGTTTAATTATGTTCTTATGGTTCACATCATGGTGAATATAAGCCATTGTTTACAGACCATAACATTTGTGCACCAATGATGTTCACTGGCCTTTCTTATATTTTATTTCTTAAGGCCTATAGTTATTTCATTTTAATCAATTAATGTTTCAAGGCTAAATATTCAGCAAAGAGATAAATACATACAATGCTTGAGTGTCTCTGGGATCATTTTAGACATATGTGAACACATGTACAGCATTGCACTGTTTTTTTAAAGAGTACTTTGCAATACTGTCTATTAGAAAAAGATCTGTCATTTTATGCAGATGAACAACAACGAGGAGAGAGAAAGCCACACATTAACATGAAGTTGTAGATGAATAAAAAAGATTATAAATAGATGGAACTCATTTCAGAAAGCCTATTTAATTAGTTTGAAACAATTTTCTCTGCTGTGATGCTCACTTAAAATGTCAAACCCTTTCCTAAACTAAGTTGACAAGGCTATTTGGCCTTCTGCAATAGCATTTCCATCAGAAAGCAAGTGATGTGTTGAAATAAGATATTTCTTCTAAACCAAGGTACTGTACTCACTGGGCACATTGTAAGAAGAATTGAATTCAATGCAATCACCTGAATTTATATAGGGCGGTCATTAACTCTACTGTAAGAACAGGCCTAATATATCAAATTTGCATTCCATGTGTAAGTAAATACATATTTTGCCAGCATTGTACATTCAGCACTGTCTATTAGACAAGGAAATATTTTTGTTTCAATTTTAAATTAAAGTTTCACCTTTCAAGATGCAAAGAAGAGTCAGTTCTACAACATTTTGCTGCTATTAAATCTAGATTTGACTTGAAACCCCACTAATCAGAATTAGGATTTCCTAATGCTCAGCTCTCTCCTTTCAGCTCCTCTGGGTGTACAACAACCTTCACTACTTGGAGCATCTCCTACAATATATACACAGCAAACTGCATTGGCAGCAGGACTCAACACTCAAACACCAACGAACTATCAGCTCACTCAGACAGCTGCTTTGCAACAACAAGCTGCAGCTGCAGCTGCCGCATTACAGCAGGTAAAAGGAACAATTTTTCACCCAATGTAACCACTGATAATGTCAAAGAATAAGCTGCAAAATTGGATAATTTTGATTTGGGGGCAAGTACTGCATTTTAAGTCTGTGCAAGTACAATAGGGACCTTCTGTACCTTTTGGAGAACATATTACACGTTGCTACTTAATAAGATTCTGCAAGTTTTATCTACCATGGCAATTAGGAAATAAACCTCCATTTGGTTATCAGTGACAGTCTCTCGCAGATACAGAACCTTTATTATACACATTAGAAAACTACAACATTATATTTTCGACATAATCATTCAAATTGAGGCACTTGTCCTAATGTCTTACATCAGGGGTAGTCAACCTTGGCTCTTTTACGACTCGTGGACTTCAATTCCCAGAATTCCTGAGCCAGCTTAGCTGGCTCAGGAATTCTGGGAGTTGAAGTCCACGAGTCGTAAAAGAGCCAAGGTTGACTACCCCTGTCTTACATGTTTGAAATTCCTTAGTAGTAGTCGCTCGGCGCCAAATCTGGGCTATGGGAGGGGGGGTGATCAAAAATATCCCAACGGAACTGCTTCAAAAGTTCTTGGGTGCGTCTAGCGGTGTGCGGGCGAGCATTATCGTGAACCAACACCACACCGGAAGTGGTGCCATAGAAAATTCCACCAAATGTGAAGATGCCAAAGGAGTACCACTAGTGAAGTTCATGGCGCGCGGTTGGACCATCCGTTCAGAAGTCTACTGTGAAATGTTACGAAAACTCAGATGAGCCATCCATAACAATCGTTGGGGCATGCTGACTTCCGGTGTGGTGTTGGTTCACGATAATGCTCGCCCGCACAACACTAGAACTTTTGAAGCAGTTGGGATGTTTTTGATCACCCCCCTTACAGCCCAGATTTGGCGCCGAGCGACAACTACTAAGGAATTTCAAACCTTGTAAGATGTTATAACAAGTGCCTCAATTTGAATGGTGATTATGTCGAAAACTAATGTAACGTTGTAGTTTTCTAATGTGTATAATAAAAGGTCTGTATCTTTATCTGTGTCTGTCATTGCTAACCAAATGGAGGTTTATTTCCGAATTGCCCTCGTAATCTGCTTTGAGACCCTATTTTCAGCCAGAAGTAGTTTGAGCCTAAAACTTGACTTAGTTCATTTAGAAGTGTGATTTTGGAAACCGAAAGCCATACACAAGCTTTAAACAAAAACATTCAAGGATATGGCTTCCTTCTTCCCAAATAACTGATGTAAATTAAACAGAATAACAGGGACTGTTAAATTAACATTCATGCTTTTGGGCAACTGCTGTTCATTTTATTAAACTTGTGTTCCGTGCATGACACATCCATTCATGTTGTAGAATCTAGAGTGATATTTGAGGAAAAATATTTTCTGTATTTCAGTTCAGTTTTATGTACCTAGTAAAATATTACCAATGTTTTGTTGATCTAGAACAATAGCTTAATGTTATTTTAGATGTAATTATCTAAAATTGTATGGCAGTATAGTTATATATATAGTTATACTTATAGTTATAATTATATATATATAGTTATATGTACTGTATATAGTTATATAGTTATATATGTGTGTGTGTGTCTCTCTCTATATATAGTTATTCACAATTTGTATGTTTTTTCAGCAATATTCCCAACCCCAGCAGACCCTCTATAGTGTACAACAGCAGGTTTGTATAATTCTTTATGGTTATTTTGTTGAGTCTGAATTGGGCTGGGCAGGCTACCATAAAGTATATTTTAAACAAAGCACATTTATATTGTTGCCAAAAAAAAACCCTATACTGACAAGTCATAGGAGTCCAATGTGACCCAAAGTAGACTTTTTAAGTTAAATACAGGTAATCCTTGACTTACAACAGTTCATTTAGTGACCATTCAAAGTTACAACGGCAATGAAAAAAGTGACTTATGACCTTTTTTCACAAGGCCGTTGCAGCATCCCCGTGATCATGTGATCAGAATTCAGCTGCTTGGCAACCGATTCCTATTTATGACGGTTGCAGTGTCCAGGGGGTCATGTGATCACCTTTGGTGACCTTCTGACAGTCAACAGGAAAGCCAGATTCACTTAACGACCATGCTACTAATTTAACAACTGCAGGGATTCACTTAACAACTGGGGCAAGAAAGGTCATAAAATGGAGCAAAATTTCTTTAACAAATGTTTCAATTAGCAACAAAAATTTGGTCAATTGTGGTCATACATTGAGGGCTACCTGTGTGTGTTTAAACCAGGGGTCTTCAAACTTGGCCCTTTTATGACTTGTGGACTTCAACTCCCAGAATTCCTCAGCCAGCGTGCCTGGCTGAGGAATTCTGGGAGTTGAAGTGCACAAGTCATAAAAGGGCCAAGTTTGAAGACCCCTGGTTTAAACCCATGAAAGGCTTATTTATATACAGCACCTCTGCTTGCTGTATCAATAAGCATTATTTGTCATTGGTTTAGTCCCTTTTTATATGCTATTGAATAATGAATGCATGAAATAGATATATTTAGCTTATATTGAATAAAAATTATAGTGAAGATTTGGAAAATATTGCTATTTTGATAGTTGGAACATTTTTAAAAAAAAATAAAAAAATGTTAGCTTTACTTATGTGAATGTTGCAGTCTGTGTGCATATACAATTAGTTTTATAAGGCAAACCCGCTGTCATCAGCATTATTGATTTTTTCCCACATAGAATAGTAAAGGGAAGAATATGGTTTTAATGCAACAAAGGAAATATTTTCCTATCCTTTAATGAAGGCTATTCTTATTCCTTTGTCTCTAGTTTTCCCTTTGAAGAGGTAGAACAATTCAACCTAAAGTGGGAAATGTTAATAGTTACATATTAATTTAGTATTTAAAATACAATGTTATATATGTTTTCATGGAATTTGTAACCTGTTTGCTGTGCAATGGTAGAAAGCAGGCATAAGCAATGTAATATTTTGCAGTATATTATACATGTAAATACAGGTGAAATCAAAAAGTATGCAGCATAAAAACTAATTATCTTGTTTATTTTTTAAGTTGCAGCAGCCTCAGCAAACACTTTTAACTCAGGTTAGTTAGCTTTTTAAAAATTCTCTTGTCATAAAACATAATGTGAATATGTGTGTAAGTATGACAGATTTTGCAGTGTAGTTTGTATATAATATTTTGATTAAACCCTTGGATATATTTTTTCTAGGGCAAATATTATCCCATCTTTATTTTGTATATAATGCGTTCTACTTTTTCCCAATACGGTGTTACTTGGAAGAATTAGTTTTTTTATGTTGAGTAGTTCATATTTTAAAATAAAGTATCAGATATATTTGACAGTTTTAAATTTTTAATAAAACAGAATTAACTTCCAAATATTATTGTTTGAATTTCAAACAATATCATCATTTGAAAATATTTTTAAGTTGTTTAAAAAATGAAATTAGTATTTTTTTTTAAGAGCACATTGCCTTCACTTTGTAAACACCAGAATGCTTAATGGTTAAAAATAATTATTTTAATACATAACACGCCCCTTCAGAAAAATGCAGGTATATCTTTACAAAGCTGGATGAAAAGGCATTTAGGCGACTAGAATAAGTGTAAAAATTACTACAATATGTGGTTGAATTGGCAATAACAAAATAAAATAGTAAGTGGGACAAAATTTGAAATCTGAAAATGCTTTTGTGTGGAAGATGTTTAGATGACAAAGATTAAGCTTTCTTTTTTAGCTTCCAGGTAATTATTGATGCCAGTTGTCTTTTGTCTTAAAGACAAAATGCACACAGTGAATGTCTCATGTATGATGTTTACCTGCTTACAAAATTACAACGTATGCATCAATGGATGCGTCACAAACCCAGCCTGCTTACCGGACAGCCGTTTCTCCAAAATCCTCCCCTCTGGCGTTGGTTTGTAGGAAAAGGCTGCCTTACGTGCAGGTTGGATTTCTGATGCATTGGTTGACCTACCTGAGATTCTTGTGGTTTACAGACAGGGAAAAAATATATACTTTTTCACACGGTCATCCTGCCCCCTTTGTGCTTCTGATAGATGCCGTTCCATCACTTGGTACCACTCATTACCAGAATATTGGTTAGTTCCTAACATTTCGAAAGCTCTAAGTGCTTATATGGCTTCCCGCTTCATTTTTTTTATTCAGCCAGCTGTGGCATTGCCAACAAGCCTTAGCCTCTCTACACCTCAGCCAGCAGCACAAATAACTGTTTCGTATCCAGCGCCACGGTCCAGTCAGCAGCAGACCCAGCCCCAGAAACAGCGGGTCTTCACTGGGGTGGTTACCAAGCTCCACGACACTTTTGGTTTTGTTGATGAAGATGTGTTCTTCCAACTCAGGTAGGCTAATCTCTGGTTTGTACATAATTGATGGCAACGTGAATTACGAACTGGTTTTTAGTAGTGAACAACGCCCCTGATGCTTCCAAGATATATACAGAAGGGTGCAGACACAGGTTATTTTTTTTCCTTTACTTAATTGGTTTGGTTTTTTAAAATCCTTAACTCAGTGGTTCTCAACCTGTGGGTCGGGACCCCATTTGGGGTTGATCGACCATTTCATGGGGGTCGCCAAGCAAGGCTGTCTGCCATTTTTTTTGTCTGCCATTTTTTTTGTCTGCCATTTTTTTCCCCCTTTTCCGGTGGGTGCCTTACCTCCCTTGGGCTGGGCCAGCTGGTGGTCGGCCTGCTCCGTCTTTGCCGCTTGCCAGCTACGCCTTGGCCGGTGCAGGGGGCGGAACCACGCATGCG